CCCGCCCCCCCCCACCCACAGGACAGCCCCTCCTCTGAGGGTCCTGCCAGCGGATGCCCAGCCCTGCTCTGTGGGGGCAGCTCTGCAGCCCTTCATGGGAGCTGGTCCCCACGCCTCTCTGCCCCCTGCCACCCTGTCCCCGTAGGACCACACCTGATGATGGCAGCTGCTTGTTCGACAGACACATCGTCCACGACAGTAGAGTTGATCTGGAGGAGCTGGTCGCCTGGCTGCAGCTTCCCTTCGGCAGTGCTCCCTGCAGGCCACCAGCATGTTAGCCTCACCAGCACCACACAAGCAGATCTCCTCCCATCACTGCAAGCTCCAGTTCCCACCCAGCACTAACTCACCTCAGCAACTGCTCTGGGACAGCCAAATAAAGAGGGGCCAAAGGACATTTTACCTGTTGCCAGTGGTGCACGGGAAAGGCAAAACTCTATAATTTGGAATTAAACACAGGGCTTTTAGTCATGGGCTTCCACAGCAAAGGACAGGAGTTAAAAGGTTTCTTTGTCCTTCATTTTATTAAAATGTTGATTCTTTCTGATTAGGAATAAAGAAAAGCTTAACAGAAAGCCTCCTTCCCCACTTCTTAGACCCCAAAACTCTCAGCTAATTTAGCCATGTCTCATATGGGAAAGGGCATAAAGATAAAATTTCACTCAAAACACTGTGAAAGGGCCAGCCCTCCAGCCAGCCTCCCTACAACACCTCCCTGCCCAGCATGAGCATGGCCTTTCTCTGGCAGTCAAACATGTAAAAAGGAGGCATTTTTGTGCACCCATTAAAAAACCAAAAAGCTACGTAAAAAGATTCAAAGCTTTTTACTCAAAACCCACAAGCCACTTTATAAGCAGAGTTATATCCCTCCCTTTCAGAACTGGGAGAGCTGACCTACTTGACTTTAGCAGAATTTCACCTGGGTGGCTTGTAACTAGCAGTGACCTGCTCCATGTTACAGGGCTGTAAGCACAGAGAGTACTTTCAAAAACAGATCACTGGGGACACTGCAGAATAAGAACTCAAAGAGTAGATGAAATACTCCTTTGCATTTCAGATAAAACATCAGAAAGCACTTTGCTTTGAAGCAGCTCTTTGCACCCCTGAAGACCAAGGTCCGAGTGCAGGTGAAGGATTAGCAATGAAGCTGCCACTGACTTAGACTTCTTCCATGCCATCAGGATCAGGTAAATGTTCAAGCACTCAGTACCCCACAGGCAAACAGGCTTTTGCCCTCAGTATTTGAGGATCACATGCCAACCAGAGGTATCTGAGAAACTCAGGAACACCTGGCAGGATTTATCACTGAGGCTATCTGGAACAGTTCAGGCTTCTCACAGTTGTGACTATAGGAAGAAGGACTCAGGGCTCACCTGCAGTGACAGATGCAATCGTAAGAGGAAGGTTTGGACAGATCTCAAAGCCATAGTGACAGAGGATCAAGTCTTTGTAAACTGTGACAGTAAGTTTGACACGGCTGGCAGGCTGGCCACTGCCATCACTGGTGCTGTCTGTCACAGAAACTGTGCCCCTGTAAGACAAGAAGCTGGTGATTAATTTAGATACAGTGACAAGATACTTTATCAAAGGGGCACAACCCACCCACGAGCACACACCCTCACTTCCAGTGAGCTGCAACTGCAGACAGATGTCAGCACCTCCCTGATACCCATGGGTGGCTCTGCACTGTGCAGGCCAGCAGTGATCCCCCAGGCTCCAGAAAAAGCTGAAGACACCAGAGCAGTGGCACCAGCTGGTGGCAACCAAAACTCTTTCAGTCACCCCAGCCCACTGGTCACATGGAGGAAGAACTCCAGGTGTGCCCCACAGCAAGCCCTGACCTCCACAGATCACAGCAACACTGGTATCCAGCAAGGCAGTGGGAGAATTTACAGCTCTCTGCTTTTGCCAGCTTAATTTTGACTCAAACACCTTAGGAAAGCAAAGCAGCTGTGGGCGAGGATGCCTTGTAAATGCAACCCAGCTTTGTCTGAAAAGCATGGGCCAATGGCAGGACTCAAAGAGAAATACAATCCCATCTTCAGGAAAAGCTAATTTCACATTAATCCATGTTGTATTTCTGCAAATTTCTGTATTTCTGGGTCACTAAATCAGAATGAGTGAAAGCGGGCACATCTCTCCCTGGAAACCAAGGGGGATGCTTAAAAACACTGTTTTTTCTAGGGACCACTAAACGCATATTTCTCAAGAACATCTAAAACAGTAAGATCTGCAACCTGTGACTGCCCCTGTGCCTTGGGAACAAGGTTGTGCTGTCTCTGATCAAAGGTGACCAACAGATACTCCTTTTACAAAAACTGTTCTCACCTGGATGCACCATCCCGAGAGCGATGAAGCCATTTTGCCACCATTTGCTCTATTCTACAGGCTCTGCGTGACTGGATTAAGTTAGTCTCCAAATCTTCCATTTACCTGAAAGATACAGAAATCACAGGAAACAGAATGATAAAAGCTTACGGAAATCTTCAAGACACTTGCTCAGAGTTACCAACACCAATTCACAACTCTTGCACAACAAAGAGATCCGCTGGCAGCCTGTGAAGACCACGTGCTTTATCAGAGGATGTTAACTTACTATGATTCCTCCTGTCCATCCAGTCTCCTCTGCCTGGCACTTTTGGTTATTCCATTCTGGTGATCACAGTGCGCTAGCTTCTCATGGCAAGAGAATGACCCAGTAACCTCTGTATTGGACGTGGCAGAGTTAGAGTAGTGGTTGGACTCGATGATCTTGAAGGTCTTTTCCAACCAGAGTGATACTGTGACACTGTATTCCTTTTTCATGGTTTCTGGATCCAGAGATCTGTTCTCTCAGCCAGAGAAAGCTGCCACACCTAGTAACAGGAAAACCCTTCTCTATTTTAGTCTGAAGTCCCTGAACAATAACTTTGGTAACACCCACCTGTACATTGATCCAAACTAGACATGCTTCTTCCATTGACCAGCCTTTCAGGGACAAGCACACAGCCTCAGCATCATCGGGAAAAACATTTCTGGGCATGACAGTGAGGTTTGCAGCCAACTCCTGGCTGCCTCAGGAAGGCAGAGCTGGTGTTCTCCCTCCCTGTGACAGATTTCCTCTCTGATTAATACAGTGACAGAAACTCTGCAGAGGGCAGTAACAAAGCTAGGACTGAGTGGACATGGCAAGCTGCTGCACACTGCTGTTTGCACTGGCAGAAGCCATCCCTAAACCAAGGTAATAAGCTCAAATTTGCCTCTAATAGAACTGGCCCCACATCTGGCAGCCCTGGGGCTCTGCAAACATATGTGGTTCCAGAACTCAGCAGAGTGAGCAGCTCATCCTGGATCTTCCATTTCAAAGCTCTAGTTCAATATGAAAATGGTGACTCACCCAACCTGCTCCTTGTGAGTGTGCCCTCCACCATGGGTAAGGTGTTCTTAGTCCTACTGAACTGAAGAACTGTGGCATCAGAAGGTTTTGGCTCAGAGCTGGTTAATTCATTGTGACTTTAATTGCATCTAAAAATGTTCCTTCCCTTGAAGACGCAAAGGCTAGGTCAGCTTCCAGACCCCAGATTGAACCCGGCAGCCAACAATTCCTCTATCAAACCCAGTAACATTCTAACATTGTGCCTCCAAGATACAGAAAGGCTGTAGCCACATACCATTTTCATTATTCATTCAAACACTGGAAAGAACTGTGGGCTGCAAGTGAACCAAACATAAAATGAAACAGAAAATATGTCTGCATCCACGAGAAGTCATGAAAAATATAAACTCTTAGTATTTCTTCTGTATTTCAGCAAGGAAACGGAATTACTATAGCCACCTTTGACACTGTGTCTCCTGGTCAGCTTTCAAGATTTGTATGTCCTGAGCTCCTCTCTTGTGTCTTCTGCACAGACAGTAAGTTCTGCACATTGGGGACATTGTCTGTTATGCTGGCACAATGTACAGGACAGTGGGCTGCTGGTCCATAGCAGGAGTTTTCCTGTAGCAGAAATATGAGTAAGTTAACTTCAGAATAACAAGATGTAGAAGAGATGGTTGGAAGCTGATTGAAGTGAGGCACAAAACATTTTGTCTCAACACAAATTGAAACACTTCCCCTTTACACCCTCCCAACTCACAGCACTCCCCCTCACTGATCCTTTCTAACAAGGACAAGAGGACAGGACTAACATTTGTTCATGTCTCTTTCCTTCCCAGGAAGCCATTCTGGCCCATTTCATCACCTGCCTGTGTGGCAATGGACAGAGAAGAGGGCTGTAAAACTCAGCCCTTCAGGAGTTCTTTCACTAAGGAGTCTCTTGGCCACTCTTTATTATGCAACCCAATTTAAAACTGCTCCTTCAGCCACAATGCTCCTCAAGCTGCCTCTGAGCAGCAGCTCTGAACCAAAACTGAATACCCATACAAGCAAGTGGTGTTTTCTGAAGGAAACCAGAGCTTGTGGTATAGGAAATCTGCTCCCTTGCCAGAGCGTGACTGGAAGTAACTAGAGCGAGTAGCAGCAGAGTGGCTCTGCAGACTGAAAGGTGCACACAGGACACGTCAGACCCAGGCCTGGGCAGTCACCAGCTGTGCCCAACATCTTCCCTTTCAGTCTCAGCACTTCACTGCTTCTACCAGGCACCTTTGCAGACACTGTAACACTCAGCAGCAGAGTGGCTCCAACCATCTTCTGACTTTGTTCCTCTCTTAGCAGCAGACAGTGCTTTGGCTTTAACTACATCCCTTCAGAAGCCCCAACGTTCCCCCTGAGCCCTGGGGAAGTCCATCAGCTCCTGATGCACTGAGGTATCTTGGACTCTGCCGCTTTCTCATTACCTCCATGTGCAGCTCCACCCTCTCCCTGCCCCACATCCTCCTTGCAGAAAGGACAGCCATTCCTTTCAGTGCTTCTGCTGTGCTTCGTAAAACAAAAGTTCTGCAGAAAGTCTCCTAATCTGAAGGACAAGGAGGAAAAGCCTGAAGAGCAAACATAAATGCTATAAAAAGCTGGCTGAAATACTAAAACGGAAAAAGCCCACGTTATCCTTCCAGTAAACCAGGATGCTTAATCCAAACAATGAGTGTTTTAGAAGAAACAGTTTTGGCAGATACTTCCCTGTAATTGTGCAAAACATAAGGTAGCAGCAGCCTTCTTCTCATGGTGTCTCCAAGGCACAAGGCACCTGCACATGTGGCGAGACAGGACTACCCAGCCCAGATGCACCACGTGTCCAGCTGGCACCTCCTCCTTGCTTCAGAGACATCCTACAAAAGTTCTGACCTGAATCCTTCTTCCACCTGCCCCGTTGCAACTATTTTTGAGCCAACCACGTCACTAAGCAGCTTAAGTGGGTTAGATCCTAATACATGGAGATGCTTAAACTCTGTCAGCAGAAAGTAAGACTTGCCAGGAGGTTGCACAACCAGCTGACCCATCTGTACAGCCACTGCTTGGTGTCTCCAAAGAAAACTGGGTGGACAATTCTGGCTTTTCAGGACCAACACTAATTGGAAGATCAGGGCCTTGGCGATCACCAGAGCATGCAGCCACAGGGTGGTACAGCAGACAGCAGTGCTTGGAAGTGCACTGCCTCCTACATGGAGCAACAGAGGACACGAAGGCTTCCAGCCTGCGCTGTCCGTCACACAGCCCTTCTACTGCAGCTAAAATAGAATCACCGTAGAAGCATCAAGGTTGGAAAAGACCTCCAAGATCACCCAGTCCAACTGTCTGTCCTGCAAACACTAACCACTAAACCAAAACACCATATCCACCCATTTCTTGATGGGTCCACCAGCCTCCCTTTCTACACTTTCCCTTTCAACCACTCCAGGTGGCATGGAAGGTTCACACACTCCATCCCTGCTGCAAACAAGGACATCGCAGATCTGCTCTCACATCATTCAGTTCTTGTGTAGTCCAAAGTAGACTGGAATGTTGGTGGCAGGTTGTTGTGTGAGGTGAGGAAGCTGTGAAGAACCATGTGTGAGCTGTGCGATCATGCAGAAGGCAGCCAATGGAGGAGCATGCAGCCAGCTAGCCCAGATTTGACTGGCAGGAAAAATAAAATGAAGCCAGCTTTCACAGAGAATTCTTCAACTTTTGTCATGTCATTACATGGAAAGTATTAATTCATCAAACTGAAATTTTATGGTGGAGAAAGGTTTTACTGGTGTTTTTGATATTGAATCCTTGTTTTAAAGTGTTCACTATCATCAAAATGTAGGAGCAGGAGCAGTAGTCAGAAAGCTCAGGTCTCCTCCACTCATTAATGGCAGAGAACTGCACGAACAGAAATAGTTGCCATGAGCTGTAACAGAACAGCTCTGGATGTGGTCTACTCGTATCTTCACTCCTTTGGGCTTTTGGAAGCATCTAAGTACTTCTTGTAATAGATGCCAGTCAGCAGTGTGCAGTCTTGAGGAAGGCAATAATGAAGGAGCAGGAGGTACAAACATGCCCTGCCCTCCCCCAGCCCCGCAGCACAATGGTGGGCACTGGCAAAGAGCTGTGACACTCCAGAGTGCTCTGGGTCAGCAGAGCTCTGCTGCCTGCAATTCACTTGCTCCCTGCCCAAGCACTAAACCTTCCACTCGTCTCTGTGCACATGGCAAGTGAAGAACTTCAGTTTGTGGGAACACAATCCTTGCTCATCTGCTGCAAGTTCTTCCCCACTGGCATCTTGCAAGGGCACACATGGCTGAGACAGCACTGGGCCAAGATCCAGAATTCACCAGAGTAACCATCAGACAGACAGAGCAAGGGTAACCTAGGCTAAATGACCCCTGGCTCTATTCAGGTTTTTCATTCCCCCTGAGGCGTCAGGCTTATCTGAAAGCCATGAGGACAAGGGGAAGCCTGGGGGGAAGCAGACAGGAGGAGATCATGGGCAGGTCTGACTCATCTACCTATGCTGAGCTCTGTGAGCTGGGACACTGTGAGAAAGAACCCACCTTCTGCCTTCTCCCACAGACATGTCAGAGGTGGTCAAACCAGACAAGGAAAAATTCTTCTCTGCTGCTTTTTAAGGGCTTCCTTGCACCTGCCTGCAAAGCTCTCAAAATCTCCCATGGACATTAGTGACTCACTGGACAGTGCAGAACATCCAGCTGCTGGCAACACAGAGGGTGCATGCACAAGATCTTTGTGCAGCACTCCATCTTCACATCAGCCCTAACCACTCATGACAGCCCAGCCACCCTCAGCCTGGTGTTTCCAGAGGTCCTGCTCTAGAGTTTTACTGACGGATGGAAGTTTCAGATTCAGTTTGATTTATACCACAGGAGTGAATAGCTGACCTTTACAGCAGCCAAAAACACACACTTCATCACCCCTGACATATGATCCCAAGTGCATCCTCATCAGGCAAATGAAGCAAAATTCAAGTTTTTTTGTTTAAGTTTCCTGAAGAAACTTTTCCTGCTGGAGAACCTGCTGGGAAGACCATTC